CCCCGCGCCCTCCCGCCCCGCCCCGGGCTGCTCCCGCCGGCCCCTCGGGCCCCGGGCCGGCCGCGGCCGCCGCTCCATCCGACTTCGCGGCCATGTTGGCGGAGCAGAAGGCGGGGAGCGACTTCCGGGCGGCGGAGCGGGTGGGGTGCGGAGTGGGGAGGACCCTGCGCGGGCGGCTCCCGCCTCCCGCTCTTCCTCCGCCGCTCCTCTTCCTCCTCCCCTCTACCTCAATTATTCATCCTTGCCGGCGCCGCCCCGCCCGGGCCCCGGCCTGGATGTGGGCCGCCCCCTGGGAAGGGAGGGGGCCGCGGAGAGGAGAGCATCCCAGGTCACCCTCGCATGGCTTCCTCGGAGGCGCGGGGCCCAGCCGCATGCTTTCTGCCTCTGGCCTCCCTCTGGACCCCACTTCTCTTTGATTGCCCCCGCCCTATCCTCTCCTCTTCCATTGATCTCCTGCGGTACCTCCGGCGGTTTGGGTCTTGCAATGCCCCATGGGGGTGGGAGGCCGGAGTCTGCGAATAAAAAGGCGGGGGTTGGGGGGGTGCAGCTTGCTTGGACACCTGGCGTGACCCTTTAGCCGTCACTCCATTCCAACGCCACTTCCTAGTTTCCCCCGCGTTCACGTATTGTTTCATCCCCTCCTTTGATCTTGGGCGATCTCTTTTCTCATTGTCTTTTTCAAGCTGAGAAACTGCAGTTCTGAGTTGCGGTCTCTTGCTCACTCTTCCTTCTTTCAGGAACCGCGTTCATCTGGCCGCTAGCCCGGTTAGGGAAGGCAGAGGGAACGGTTGGGAGGGAACCTCTGGGGGAGGAAAAAGCTAGTGCAAACAGCTCCCCTCCCCCTCCACCACACTGGAGGCCACATTTCCTAGGATGAAGGTGAGGGTCGGGGTGCAGAATGATAGGACTGGCGAGTTCTGAAGGACCAGAAGGTGGCAATGGGGGCATCCGCTGCAGAATGTCAGCTGAGGAGTTATGTGGCTAGGTCAGGACTTAGCGAGAAGACTTGGCAGCCACAGTGGAGCTGGGATCAAAAAGCAGCAGCCTGGAACTGGAAAGACAAGGACATTATAAACACAGTCTCTAAGAAGTGAGGGACCTCTTATGTGTCTGAGTACTCCCATCCCACCACCCATCTTGGCTCGGATCTGATGTCCTAGGACATTGTTTATACAACCACTGAAACCAGTTCTTTGTCATCGTTCTAAGCAGTGTGGAATCACTAATCACCTTAGCCTCACAATTTATATGCTTTATACTGTCCCTACCCATTTTATAGATGAGAAAATGGAGTCAAAGAAATTCATCTAGTGGCTTAACATTACACAGCAAGTCCTGAAAACAAATTTAAACGTGGCTCTTGAATAGGCTTTGGAAAGCTCAAGGGACAGAGGAAGAGGGAGGAGGGGAGGAAGTGAGGTGGAAGGACCACCCTGCCTCAGAGTGACAGGGAGGAGAGAGGAGACAGCTGCCCTGGGCTGGGTGGAGCAGCCATCTGCTGTCCTGCAGCCTGGCTTCCCTTTCGTGTCCAGGGACTGTTTTGGTCTCAGTGATGCTTGGGAGGTTGGGGTACCAGCTGTTGCCTAAAGCTAAAAGCAGAGGGGAAGTGTTAGGGGCTAAGGGAGTTTTCAAGGCCAGCAGCTCATGTGTCAGAAGGTCTGAAGCAGGAAGACCCAGCTCCTATTCTGTGTCCCCTACAGCCCCAGACCTAGAAACCAGACTAATGCATGAGGAATCTTAAGTGGGTTCAGAAGAGCCAGTCTGGTTCCGGCCACTCTCTTGTCAGGTGCTTGGATGGGCCTGTCAGAGATCGGATCCCACCTTTGGGCCCCACCTAAATGGAAACCTCCATATATCCCATAACCAGTTTAAAATAAATCCAGCAGCAGAAATCAGGTTTACTGTCTGATACCCTGATGCCAGAGAATCTAGGATGGAGGCCCACATGGAGTTCTTTATGAGTCCATGACTTTGGGTAAACCACTCAGGTTTTTTTGTTGTGTTGTTGTTTGTTTTCTTTTGTTTTGTTTTTTGGCTTCACAGAATAACAAAATAGAGGATACTCCATACCTTCCTGATAGGACAAGAATGAGGATGATTATTAGTGGGAAGTTTTAATAGGGATAATGCTTTCCAAAGAATTGTCTTTCAGAAACATTTCCCCAATACCCTGGCTATGACTGCCATAGCACCTTGACCTTTTCATTCTTCATAATGACACAGCAGCAAGCAGTTTATCTTCTCCTGTTTGTCTGTTCAGAGTTGCCTGGGATCTTCCTGAGGGCTTGGGAAATTCGCCCATCTTTCTTCACTCTGCAACTTTCTAGTGCTCAGTAGGTATCCCATGAAGATGTGAAGGTAGCCTTATATAACTCTAGATAATAAAATTTTAAAAGAAAGGAAAGAAAAGCTGTATGGTAGTGGTGCATGCCTTTAATCTTAGTACTTGGGAGGCAATGGCAGGCGAGTCTCTGAGTCTGAGACCAGCCTGGTTTACAGAGCAAATCCCAGGATGGACAAGGCTACACAGAGAAACCTGTCTCAAAAAAAGAAAACAAACAAACATCATCCAATGAGACCCAGGCATTGTGACAAGCACCTGTAATCCCAGCACTTGAGGTAAGAAATAGGGGAAAGGCGAGAGAATTGTTGTGAATCCAAGGCTTCTCTGCGGTTCATAGTGAGCAACAGACTGTCTGAGCTACATAGCAAGACACTGTGTCAAAAAGAAAAAAAAAAAAACTCTGCAGAACATTGGACAAATCAATGCATGAGTGAGTGATGAACTCAGTGCTACAAGTGAGTTTTTTCTCTCCAGTTTATAAAGGTGACTTATTCAGACAGGCAGTGGCTTGTAAACTCCTTAGGACAGTGTTAGCGGCTCTGAAACATTTACATTGTTACTCGTTGTTATTTACAAACTAGCTACTTCCGGGGTAGAAACTGAGCCACCAGCAAGAGTTGCTTTAAGCCCATTTTTTAGGAAGTAGCAACACTAGCATTCAGCAGCCCGGTGTAGCGTGAGTAGACTAGATGACACACAGGAAGGACTTTATAAAAGATCTGAAGCGTGTGTCAGCTCTGGGGTTAATCTACACCTGATTAGAGGAGATTCTGTCTGACTGGGAGGTTTATACGGCTGTGTTCTGATATTGTGAGTGAAACCAAGGGACAAAGGGACGGTGTTTCAGAGGCAGTGGGGTGGGACTGAGGACAGCTAGGGAAAGCCTCTATAGTAGGGCTGATCTGGGTATGAGCAAAGGCTGAGTCTGGCTAGTGTGGAGGGAGATGGACCTCAGTTGGTCAGAGCAGGACAAGGCCTTTGGGAGCTCAGGCTCTTCCCTAGGCCTCTCTCACTTCTCTGACGGAGACTCTGGGGTCCGGAGGGATAACCTAAGTTAGCCAGTGGCAAAGCTCTATCTGGAGCCTTTCCCTAGCTCCCATAGAGACCTGATGGTCTCCAAGCCATGTGGGGAATCGCTCTTAGGAACCATCCTTGTCACCTCTCCGTACTTGGCCTCCGGGTGCTACTGAGAAAGGGCCCCGCCCAATAGCAGAGGCTGCACCCTCTGCTATTCCTGATGGTTTCCTTTGCTTCCTACTTAAACATTTGCAAACTGTGCATGAGATAATCAGGACTACGCTGTTTATCAACGCAAGTATTGGGCATGACCCAAGCACCCATCATAAATAAGCCAGGGGACTCGTGACAACGGAGGAGCCTGGAGGAGCGCCCTGTCCTCGTATGGAAGAGTCCTCACGGAGGGAAAACAAGGACAGAAAAGGGTTAAATCAGTGTGAAAATAGGAAATAACAACTTCTGGTTTTATATGTTTATATAAGCGTAAAGACACTCCGGGGCTGGTGAGAGGGCTCAGGAGGTAAAGGTTCCCCCAACAAGCCTGAGGACCAGAGTTCGAATCCCAAGGTCCACAGGGTCGAAGAAGGGAACTGACTCTTGCAAGTTGTCCTCTGACCTCCACACAAACCATGGTACATGTGCCCTCCTCCCACATGCACACAAAATAAATAAATACAACTGTAACAATTAAAAAAAAAAAGAAACTTTGAAATTACATAATAAAGATTGCTTAAAAGGACATGAGAATTGGGGATAAGGATGGGAGGAAAAAATCATTCTTTGATGTGTATATATTTTTGCAGTCATGCAAGTATATTTGCTTATTAATAAAATAAAATGATAATGGGGACAGCTGCTATACAAGTCTAACTGGATGTTATGGTCAGTGTGATCAGATTTTCTAATTATCCAAGAGAAGACAGACACCTCAGTTTTACTGTAAAATTTCCTGATATTTAGACGCTAGCTCCAGGTTTCTTCAAACGTTTCTCTGATTGGCAAATAAGCCAGTGAGGCCGGACCTTCAGCCTCAGCCCTGATGACTTCCTGCCTCTGGCCTAGAGCTCTCAGCGCTCCAGGTTTTTATTCTTATGTGAGCAGCTGCAGGCTGAAAATTGACTCCTCCTGACTTTCTCTTGACACCCTTCAATCCCTGCCCCTGGGGGCTGTGACACTAAGGGCTTTTAACTCAAGATCTAGACGGCAGAGAGAGGCTGTGAACTCGCAGACAATTCTCTCCCCTGGGATGCTGTGGACATCAAGGCCCACTGCCTCCTGCTGTACACCCATCTGTCCCTTGAAAGTGGGGACAGGGGTGAGTCTGAGAGTGAAAGGATGGAAAAGGCTTCCCATCAATGCTCACAACACAGGGCTCTGGTCAACCCTGTGAGGATCAGATCTAAGAGGGGGAACCTGAGGGACTGCCAGAAAGAAAAAGCCAGCTTTACCCTCTTGGTGAGTGTTGAGATAACTCACCACATTCCAAATGCTGGGATCCCCAAGTCCCATTCCCAGAAGGACTTTGAAAGATCATCTCATTCAGCTCCCTTGGACAGACAAGGAGACACACTGCTCCCCGCCCCAGGCCTCGTGCATGCTGGGTGGGTTATGTACCCCTGAGCCTCTCCGCAGAGTTCCTGTTTCTTAGCAAGCCTATCTTCTCTCTCTGCTAAGCTTTTGCTCATGCTCTTCCCAGGCTACAAGCCTTTGCCTTTCTCTTATCTGTGGCCCGT